GGGAAAGAATTTGCCCTCCCAGTAAAGCCATTTCTGCCCCCGAAGTGCGAATCAGAATTGCTCATGATTGCTGTCAGAATTGCAGTTGATTTATTTGATAATGAGATTATGCCCTTCCATAGCCTCCTCCACAGCCATCTTGTGTGTAATTCATATTGTTCTTCACCGAGTATTTCATAATAGCGATAGATTTCATGCAAACAATCCGATAAAATGCTAGCCTTTCCAAGCCTTGCGACTATTTCCTAGCACTCTCCTCCACAGAGGCGTTGTGTTTTGTTTTGGGAGGTTTTATTGCAAAATTGTTTTCTTAAAAATATCAAGTTATATTAAGAGCCCCCCCCCCCCCCCCAATCGCCACAAAAACCATTCTCTCAGAAAAAGCTGAAACTGATTAAGTTCGTCTCGACTGAGAAAAAAGACGATATACTGGAGGACCTCGATTTGTGAAATCTCGTTAAAGCAGTTGCATGTAGATATGGTTCCAAGAAGAATAGATTTAGTTTAGATTTTTAACTGTTAAATACATGTATGTATCATCATAGCATGAATATTCCTTCTCAGACTTATTCTGTATCTTATGAAAAAGAAACACAATTTTGAGAATGCGGAAATGGTGTCTCATAGAACCTAAAAGGATTTAAATGCAACATTTCTGATCAAAATCACATTGGGATCCCCCCCCCCCCCCAGCATCACAGAGAGGAAATAAGGTGACACTGACCCCTCCTCCTATTTTTCAAGGTGACTTTTCCAATTTATTTAATTCCGAGTAGAAATGTCTGGAAAAATTCATGTCTTCGATGTACTTTATAATCTTCGGAATTCTGCTAGATTTCACCCCCAAATTGCATGAAATCGCAATTCAGGGACCGTAGATTTCAAAATTTTCCGGACCCCCCTAGACCGTCTCACGCCTTAGGCGTGAGGTTCGCCCCCGCCCCCCTCCCCCGAAAAATTAAGGTTTGGCTACGCCACTGGTTATAGCTGTACGATTATAGCTACAAAGAGTTGAAGTTATTGTTTAAAGCTAGTAAAATATAGCTCAAGTTAATAAATTAAAGTTTTACCAAATCTCTCTTCAGACTCCGCACGTTCGCCAAACCTCGACGGCTCATATTTTTCGTTTTGCCTTTTTTTCCTGTTTTGCCCCCCCCCCCAGTGAAAATTCCTTAAAAAAGGCACTGTGTGTGTGTGCGTGACTGTGTGTTGTTATGTGTGTGTCTCTATTATTATGGTGTATAAAAATTTAGATCAATTATGTAAAATTTCGCTGAAAAGCCTTTTAAGGGATGTGAAATAAAAATAAAATACAAATACGATCCTGGTTGCTGGTGAGCTTACGAGCAGTAGGTTGCATACAGGCCGTAGTAAAACACAGTATTTTACACGCCCTGGTTGCATATCACACAAATTCCGTCTAAGTTTTCCAATTCATGCGCATTTATTCAGGTAAAACCTCCTAGTAGACTTTATTTTTATTTTTTTCTTATTCTTTCCCAATAATCGTTTACACGATAGAATTGCGAGGCATAAACACGCGAATTTTGACGCCCTAGCCTAGTTGCCGGTTGTTCATGCAAAGCTGGATTAGTGCTAACCCTCGGTTAAAATTTAACCTGCTGCTTTAATTTAATTATGTATTTCTGCCCGTCTGTTTATTTCAAAGCAAGAGGGGCTCATAGGCAGTTTATTTGAATGTAGCGCTCCAGTTATATTCATTTCGCTGACGTTTTCTCTACTGTGCCGGTTCCACCTGTGGAGCTGATTGCTTACAACAATTTGCCAGCTTTGCAAACACCAACACATACTCTCTTCTATACTGTGGACTGAAAATAAAATACAGGAAAGGATTTACGCAACTGTTCAGAAACGTAAACATTACACATACAATATGGATCTCATCATCTATACCAAGGATGCCATATTTTGACAACATGAATGTGATTCTTCCAGGAAGCCAGTTCACTATGAGCGCGGAACATGCGACAAGGGCTACCACAGTAACCTTTTTCAACTTTGCGTCGTTGCAGGATAGACTGGGGAGCTTTTTTAAGGTGTAACACACGTGACAATAGAGCACTACCATGGCAGACTTTGGGATTATGGTCTGCACCGTGAAATCCATCCAAACCAATTTTGTTTCTGCTTGAGGTATTGGCACATATTTGCATTTTTTCGTCGCGACATCATACTTCATTCGAAACAGCACTGTAATGTTTATTGCGCATGCCCAGAGCCAGACAACGACGACAGCTAATATGGCGTGACGACATTTCAACGATCGGTAAATTTGTGGTTTCACAACCGCCAACCATCGCTCAATAGTCAGGGCCAAGCAGGTATATATGGAGATGTAACCAAGCGTAAAAGGTACCCATACACCCCAGATTGCTATACAAAATACAGTCGCCGCAGCTTCGCTGTATGTTGGTGTTGGAGGAAGATACAGGAAACGACTGAAAATAAAAAATTAATTTACCCTTAAAGGACATTGGCAATAAAACGTTATTTTGTCTCATTAAAAAAAAACTCTTAAAATTATATATTAAATTCTATTACCGATTTGTCATATCTTGCTTAGTTCTCGACATATTTAGACCAAAATTAAAATAAGCTGTCCGCCATCTTGGACTAATTCTTGACCTCATTAACCATAGATATAGGAGATCTAGATTGCTAACGCATACCTAGCGCAGGTGGGGGCCTACATGATAAATCCAAGATGGCGGTACAACAGGGCAAAAAGACTATAAATTCTATTAAGAAAATCTAGATTTTTGCATTTTTTGCCGTCGCATTGTTTTGAAACTTATTCGGTCAAATTTTATGGTAAAGAGAAACTTACCGCGAAGATTTTGAGCATATATATGATTGAATTGGATGAAAACTCGCAAAACTCGCAAAATTATCCATCGATAAAAGTTCGTGTATAGTACTGATATATAGAACTATATATGTGACTTGTACAGTTTTGCTTTAATTTTTGCTCACTATTTGCATAAAAAGCAAATTATAACAGACCATAGATGATAGACCCTCATCCAGTGCTCTCATCAGTTTACTTCTCTAACAAGCAAGGAGGGGGGGGGGGGTACATAACAGTTCATTTTTCATAATTATGAGGACAGAGCAGATGATGATGAGAGATGCAAGTATAAAACACCATTCACAAGGCTAGATGTTAACATAGCACAGTATTTCTGGCAATAAAACGCTCCAACTGACCAACTGACCATTTCACACGAACTTTTATCGCTGGATAATTTTGCGATTTTTCATCCAATTCAATCATATAAATGCTCAAAATCTTCGCGGTAAGTTTCTCTTTACCATAAAGCTTGACCGAATAAGTTTCGAAACAATGCGACGGCAAAAAATGCAAAAATCCTGATTTTCGTAATAGAATCTATAGTCTTTTTGCCCTGTTGTACCGCCATCTTGGATTTATCATCATGTAGGCCGCACCTGCGCTAGGTATGCGTTAGCAATCTAGATCTCCTATATCTATGTCATTAACTATGGTTTTGATGACGTCAGGAGTTGGGTTAACCATAAAACTACTCTAAAATGACCGAGTAACAATCCAAAATTGTTTGAAATGTTTTTAATCATTTCTAAATTTCAGACAGCAACCAGAAACCATGTTTTGGACCCATATTGATCGCTTACTCGCAAGATGCATACTCTCAATAAATGCATATTCTCAATAATCCAAGATGGCGAACAGCTCACTTTTTTAGTCGAAATATTTTGAAAACTAAGCAAGATATATACAATCTGTAACAAAGTTTAATATATAGTTCTAAAAGGTCTTTCAAATGAACTAAACTATTTTTTTATTGCCAATGTCCTTTAATTCGAAATAGTTCAGTGAACATGGCGCGGTGACGGGTATTATTCATTATATGACATCTCATTAAGTCCTGGTCATTTAATTGGCTGATTATGATCACGTGATATGGAATAAAAATTACCATTTTGCTCAGGCGTGCACGCTGGTGTAAAAATCATTAAAATATTGATTATTACGTTAGCTCTTCACTCAAACATTTTTTGGGAGCAAAGATTCTTACCATACAGCCCAGTCCCAGGCATTCTGGCGTGGCTGGATCGCTTTAAGTAAAGTAAAAAACAAATTCCGAAAAGACAAGACATCTTGAGAATACAATATATGATTCAAAACAAGACTAAAGTTGAGACTGTAAATTTTCGACTTTATTTCAAAGTCAAAGTCTTTATTCTTCTTGAAATAAAGTCGAAAATTTACAATCGACTCAACCCTCGTCTTGTTTTGAATCACACATTGTATTCTCAAGATGTCTTGTCTTTTCGGAATTTGTTTTTTACTTTACTTTTTTAAATTGTCGGCTGGTCATGGTTTTTGGATCGCCCTAACGTACCTGCAAATCTTGTTCCCCAAAATACCACCTTAAAATAGTAAGGTGGATGCGAAAAGGTGAGGAACTAGGCTGGATTCCTATACGTCTTCATTTATACAACGCCTGCGTTTTAAATATATAGGATCGATCGTATTTGCCCATTGGCTACTAAGAATACTAGTAAACAAATGAATTACCTAAAAGACAAAGATATTGCCGTAAGACAGTCAGCGACAGCCAAGTTGAAAATGAAGATACCGTAAGGCCTTATGAGAAAAGTCTTGCGACGGAGAAGCATAACATAGATAACCAAACCGTTGCCTAGAAATGCAACGATAACGATCATCGATAGGATGGAAGTGAGTGCCAGATTCATGATTGCAAGAGAAAATTCACACCTTTCTACAAAAAAGAAAATGCATAAAAAAAGTTCAAAAAACTGCTCACGCCATACGATCCCTGCATTATTTCAAAATACAGGGTGTATCAAAAAAAGCGCAACCTCGGAATTTCCCAGGAAATCGACATTGTTTTAAAGACAAAAGATTTTAGGCGCCTGGGAATTTAAAATAGCATAACTGTCAAAATTACTGCACATGCGAGTGCATAAAGCAAAATTTATGCATTTATTTAATCACAACAACAGTAATATGATCTATTAGCATTTCGATTTCAATTCCCAGGGGCCTAAAATCTTTTATGCTTAAGAATTGCAAAGTGATTTCTTAGGAAATTCCGAGGTTGCGTTTTTATTGATACACCCTGTATATAAATTATTCAAAATCGGCTTATTATCCCTAATCCCAACTGATTAGTACTTAGGGACGGACCATTAGAAATCCCGGAAGGGGGGTATAAAATGTTTGCGGCACGATTTTTTTTTTCAGTCTCATGTCTCTGCAGGATATTTTTTTTATGCATTTAACCTCTGCAAGAATTTTTTTTCAAGACTATTTGCATTTTGCTGTTTGCTTGCACGAATATTTTTTCTTTGACGTAATGGCTGCGCGAATCTTTTTCCAGGCATTTTTATTTGCACGAATTTTTTTGGGGGGGAATTTTCACACCCCCTCCTGGGATTTCTAATGGTCCGCCCCTTAGAATTGATCACCTAGTTGATTGCATTAATTGTATACTCACATACAGACAAACAGTACAGGCTGGCGACTGCTAGCAGATGTACAGGGACAGGGTGTCTAAAAAAAACGCTATGGAAATTCAACAGGATGTTGTGCATCACAAACTTAACTAAACAATTCAATTTTTACATAGAACGAAAGAGCTGCTATCAGTTAGCTTTCCTTTGATATATTTCTTAAACCGTAACAATGAGAAATGGCCACATACTCGTCAAATAAAACTAATTTTCGGTCGAAACCACATTCTTTCGCCGTTGGAAATTGAAAATGCATTAATTATGCAACGTTAATCAATCCAAAAGCACCGCGAGTCTGCTGCAAGGTACTTGTTTCGTAAAACGTTTTGATTACGAATGTTCTCTGTTTAGGGGTTAATTGAACCATGTTTAGTGCAATAATGACGTTCTTATGGTCTCACTAAGACGAAGATTGACGAGTTGAGCTTATTTTAGATAATTTAACATGCAATTTTAATTCCCTCTTGGGAATTGTTTATGTTTCGTTTTCCATGCAATTCCCAACGGCGGAAGAATGTGATTTCGACCAGCAATTTTTATTTGACGAGTATGTGGCCATTTCTCATCGTTACGATTTAAAAAGAGTATCATTGAAAAGCTAGATAACTGTTCTTTTGTGCTGTGTAAGAATTGAATTGTTTAGCCACGTTTATGATGCACGACAGCCTGTTGAATTTCCATAGCGTTTTTTTTAGACACCCTGTATATCAGTTATTATATAATACCTGATTAAATTCTAATCGTTTAATTGGCTGTTTATGGTCACGTGATATTGAATAGAAAATTCCATTTCCCAAGAGTGCAATGGAA